GTGCGCGCGCAGGAGGCAGCGCAAGTCCAGAGGCCGGTGCCGGCGCGGGCGCAGGCCGCCGGGGGCATTGCCGTTGACGCGCTCCTCGAGACAAGGATTGCGGAGGCGCAGGGGGCCCGCGCGCCACAGTGCGGCGGGGGCCCGCGCGCGGAGCTCCGTTATCTTCGCCGGCGGCTTGACAGCGAGGAAGGCCCAGTGAGCGTCGCTGAGTGGCTGTCTTCGGCGCGCGCAGCGGCCCTCCTGGGCGCATGCCCGCGCTCCATCGCCTCTTTCAAGAGCGGCGTGGCAGCATGGATCGCGTTCGCGCGCGAGGCTCTTGCGCTGCGCGGGCGCGAGCTGCCGCCGTCTGCCGACGGGTTGCTCGCGTGGTCGCTGCTGTTTCGCTCCGACCAGACCTTTTCCAATTATGTCTCTCACGTCAAGCTGGCTTGTCAGGTTTGCGATCTCCCTGTAGACGTTTTTCGTGACACGCCCCTTCGCCGCGCCAAATGCGCGATTCGCCAGCGCGGCGCTTTCCTGCCCAGGGCGCCCCTATTCATCAGGGAGGACGCAGTTTGCGCGCTGCTAAATCTGGCAAAAGAGCGGCACGAGTCCGCCGTTTTCGCGCAGCTCTTTCTTGTCACGTACGTGTTTCTCTTGCGCCTTCCCTCGGAGGCCCTGGGCATTTCGTTCGACGGCGTCGCCTTTCGTCAGGGCGCAGGGGCTTCCCTCATTCTGTGCGACGGCCTCCTGCAGCTCAAATTGGCGCGCCGCAAGAACAAGCAATTCGGGTCCGTGCTGCAGCGAGCGTGCTGGTGCGCGCGCTGCACCAAGACGTGCCCGGTCCACGCGCTCGGCGCATGGTTCGCGGACCTGCCCGTGGGCACCAGGCCGTTCGCGGACATTAGCGCGGCCAGCTCGCTGAGCACGCTGCGCTTTCTCCTCGGTCAGCTCGGCGTCAAAGACGCGGCGCTCTATCGCACGCACGACCTGCGGCGCGGGCACGCACTGGACCTCCAGCAGAGGGGAGGCACCTTGCGCGAGATCCTTCAAGCGGGCGAATGGTCCTCGCCCGCGTTCCTGTCGTACCTCGATTTGACGCAACTCGAACTCGGCGCCGTGGTCGAGGCGCATCTAGCTGAGTCCGAGGACGAACTTGCCTAGGCAATGGCGACCCAGGCGTCGCGCGACGCCCTCGCGCGTACGCCTCCGCCGCTGCGTGTCACAACACCGCGGCGCCGCCGCACGCAACGCCCGTTTCGCAAGGGGTGCGCGTGCCGCGCGCGTCGCCGCTGCGCGGTGCACCAGCATGCATCGGCTGGGGGTGCTTGCATCCCTGGCGCCCCGCGCGTCGGCTCAGACTGGCACCGCCAGGCTGGACGGCGCGGGGGGTGCCGCACCCCTTGTCAAGTGGGTGCGGGCACCCTCGGGTGCGGGAGGCTTCTGGCGCAGCTGAAATTTGTGGTGGGCGCCCAACGCCATCGAAAGCGCGCGCGCTCGCTTGTGCTGCGTTGTGCGCGGGCACAAATTTCGCGCCCGCGCCTGGCCCGCGCGCGGGCGGGCAAGCTGGGCGCGCGGGCCGCCTCCCGCTTTCCTGCGCCGCGCGGCGCGCGGCCCCACGAGAAGGGCCCGCGCGCGCGAGGCGGGGGGGCGTCAGCATGTGCCTCGCGGCGCGCGGCCCCACGCGAAGGGCCTGCGCGCGCGAGGGGGGGGGGGGGCGACGGCGCGTGCCTCGCGGCGCGCGGCCCCGCGCGAAGGGCCCGCGCGCGAGGGGGGTGCGTCGTCGCGCGCGTGGCTAGTCTGCTCTTCTGCTCGCTTTGCGTCGAACGCCCCGTGCAGGCGCGCCGCGGGGATCGCGTCGGGGCGGTTCGCGGCGCGCCTCGGGGTCGTGCGATGTGCAGGCATTGGTGCTTGCATCTCGCAGGCATGTGCGCTTGCGTCCCGCCGTGGCGGACGGCGCGCGCGCTTTCGCCCCGCCCTCCCGCTCCTGGGGGTACTTGCATCCCTGGCGCCCCGCGCGTCGGCTCAGACTGGCACCGCCAGGCTGGACGGCGCGGGGGGTGCCGCACCCCTTGTCAAGTGGGTGCGGGCACCCTCGGGTGCGGGAGGCTTCTGGCGCAGCTGAAATTTGTGAGATCCGCGCTGGAGCCCCCCAGCGGCGCCGCCCCTGGCGCGCTCCGCGCGCCAGGGAGGAGGGACCAGCGCGAATCCAAGAAATCCGCGTGGAACGCCAAAAGTTTATGTGTATGGCGTTTTTGATTTGTTTTTTTTTTCTCTTCGTCTTCTTTTTCGTCTTCTTCTTCTTCTAAGGATGGCCACGCGTCGCGCATCGCGGGACACGACGCGGGCAGTTGGGCGCCCCACGTGCCAGAACGTGCCAAAGACAGGCGCGGAGGGCCGAAGGCAATCATCTGGCCGCGGCAGCTTCTGTGCCCGGGGCCTCGCGTGCAGCGCAACGGATTGCATGACCGCGGAGGAGAAGGAGTGTGAAGAGGAAAAGAAGGAGGATAAGGAGGAGGCG